TCTTAGCTACGATCAAGTCAACCACCATTGCTCAGCAGCGCCCATCACTTACTGCTTACATAAACCCACACGCTTCCGATCCTACGAAGTAGTCTTGCCTCTTGGGATCAAGGATCGTCACACTATAAAAAGGATGTCCTTCTATATTATTAAAGATAGAGAAGTATCTAATTAAGTTTATTATTTATTCTAATCTATAGTTAATTATTAGAGGTGTTTAATAAAGCCTATCCTTCTAGATAAGCCTAATAATAATCTAATATATCCTATATAAATATTATATCTATTAATAGAGGATAGTAAAAAGGATATATCTAATAGAAGATAATACTAAAAGCTATCTTTAATTTATATATTATTAAAGATCTTAGAAGAAAGAATTAATAGAGGTATATCTTTCTAAACTTGGCTATTTTAATATAGCTTTAATATATTATAATTATACTTTTTAGATAAGTATTCTATATAGAATAATATTAATAATCTAGACTTATAGATATAATAATTCTCCTTTAAAAAGTATAAGTAAGACTTTATTAATCTTAAAGTATATATAAAAGTAAATATCACTATTATAATATTTATTGTTATCTAATAAGAAGATAGAAGTAGTCTTATATTTATAGAGTATAATAAAGAGGCTTCTAGAGGTAGCTTTTTAAGCTATAGCTATATTAATACTTTATAGAAGGGCCTTCTATTATACTATAATAATATCTAGTATTTTTAATATAATAATACTAAGATTTATTAAGTATAAGTAATCTAGATATTTCTTTAGCTTTAAGAAATTAAGTAGATAAGATAGTCTGTCTATTTATCTAATTTAAACCCTATAGAGTATATATAGAAGGCTCTAAAGAATAAGATATATAAAAATCATTCTTATCTATTTATTCTTAAAAGTAATAGTAATAATATTAAAGAGTTTAAGTATTATATATATTATTTATAATATATAATTAAGTAGATAAAAATATAGGCTTTAATTAAGTTACTATCCAATCACTTAGCTATAGTACATAAAGTAAAGGGTTAGTATACACATTATTAAAGAGGAGAATCAGGGCTATCTCTGAGTATAATTTTTATTTCAATTGATTGATTTTATCATGTACTTCCGTAGCCTTGAAGATGTGGTGTTGCCGTGAGGGTGTCGAGGGTGGGTGTGGGGCGGTCCAGACTTTTGGCGCATTACTGTACCTATTTTCCAGACCATTCCCATAGCGCGGAATTACCCGCGAATGCGCTAAGGTCAGCAGCCAAGCCCCTGGCTAATTTCAGCCCGACTCCACATCTGCCCTCAGCTGAACCTCTCCCAGCCAAGCCCCCTGCAGGAACAAACATGAGGATTCAGCATGAGGCTATTCCCATTCCCATTTCCCAGCACACAACGCGACTTGGACACCAGCGGGCTTCTGACATGAAGCCACTCGCAGGAGAGAATGACTGTTGTATTTTAACAACACTCTGAAATTATAGTCCCATCATAACGTGCTACTCCTGACGGTTTAACTCTCATGGCACCCATTTTCTGTGTGACCTCTAGTCCATAACTTTAATTAATTTCTCCCGTAAGGCCTTGTAATTCCGGGTCATTGCGTTTCGCGCGAATTCCTCGCCCGTAATCATGGGATACTTCTTCAGTGGTCCTTGTATCTCGGCATCTCTGCACGGCTGATTAAAGAAGGCAATACTGTAGCGCTCTCCATAAAAGTCATTTGGCTCGCATGGAGCCTTGACTCTGTGAAACGTAGACTTGAATCGGTCGTCAGACCACGACATGAGCAGGTCTCCGATATTACAAACTTGTCATCACATCAGCATATATATCCGGTACAATGGAGGGTAGGCTTACCAATGGCGTTCTTCGCAGCATTCGGCTCTACTTTTGTCCACGCATCGCCATACCCGAACGAGGTCGAAACCTCGCGACCAGGGCATATCTCTAAGCCCGACTGGCCCTCTTTTTGAAACAAAAGAGTCAAGAAATCCCAGTCGGCGTGCGCACCGGCCCTATGGAAAACCTCGCCTGTCGGGTTGGGCACCTGGGGCGTCTCGAAGTAATGGAGGAGCCTGCAGACCGTCTGCGATTCTTGGCGACTCACGTTGTGGGCTTTGATGAAGTAGTCGTCACGGAAGTGTAGCCCGCGAGCGAAGCACCTCATGAGTTTCTCGCTGACCTCTTGGGCCTGGTGCATGAATGAAAGCGCCTCCTCCTGAAATCCGGGAAGCGTCTCATCATCGACCCATCGACCTAGTACTTGCTTTTAGCGACAAGTCCCTCGTCGTAGCGCACACGTAAAACTGACCCTCCATGCCATCACCGAATTGCATTTGATACGACTCTTTACGGTCCACGGCGCCCGTCGAAGGGCGGACCTGGGCATTCTTCTCCCATCCTGCATTGTGCTGTGGCGAGAAGGGAACGCGCGCCTTGACCTCGTCTGGCAGGCCAAAGAAGCGGGCGGACTGATTGAAGATGCCATCTACTGCATCCTTCGAGATGCCATGATCGACGATGCAGAAGAAGCCGACGTTCTCGGCTGCATCGAGCAATTCAGCTGTGATTTGATCGATGCGCGAGTCGAAGTCACGCAGGGAGATTTCCGGGATCGCACGGCCGATGTACTTGGTGGGTGCCATCGCGAGTGCTTGCAGCTCTTTCTGGCTGGGTTTGTCAGTAGCAGCCATGATGTCAAAGCGAAGTTGAATTGCTTTTATACCACGTCTTGTTCTCTCGTGGGATCATCGACACTAGAAACGGACGAACAATTGTGAGCACCTCTTTTGTTGCATTGCACTGGGATGTCGGTCCGGCCGCCGAGGTTTGCGGCCGCGACCACAATGAGGTAATAGACCGGAGCCGAAGCAATCCGTAGATAAGCTACGCGAACTACATGAACAAGTACAAGGTTCAAGGCAAGATAACCAACTCTTTGTGGGTCTCATTGGCTTTCCTTCTTATCGCGGCCGAGCCAAACTACTTCCAACTTAGCGGCGGCTTGATTTCGGCCGCTCGACGAGGCCGCGGTGGTGGAAACTTGGCCCAGACATCCCTCTGATGGCGGCCGAGATACACCCATCCAGCATTACAGATCTGTTTGCGCAAGATCAACTGACAAGCACCGGCCTTGCTACCACTCCAACTGCCGCGAAAGAACTGCCCACTTCAATGCTTTGCCCCTCTAGAGTTCCGTCTCTCAAGCAAGGACCAGCCGCCGGTAGCCGTGCTTGCGCCGAGGTCGGGGATACCGGATACCATGGATGAAGACACCGAGACCCGAGGCCCACGGGCGCGGCTGACATGCACCCATTGCCATCGTCGAAAGATCAAGTGCAATAAGAACATCCCATGCGACACTTGCATTAAACGGTAGGGCACTCTCTCGCATCCTAAGCTGCTGTCTTGCTAACCCTCTCTCCCCCATTCCGATCCACAGCGGCATAGCAAATTTGTGTAGTCGCGAAGAAATCACGGCCGCCCATGGAGCTCCATCAAGCCCGACGAGTCGGAGTTCGGCTCACAGCGAAACAGGCGACGCACTCCGGGCATTGCTTGAGCGCGTAACACAGCTCGAGGCTAGGCTTCAGCAGAGCACGCAGTGCATTGTTCGACAAGAGGATGACTCGACATCAGTCTCTGGCGCATTAGGAGCCCAGCTGGCGACTCCAGAAACAGGCCAGCCCGACGGCCTGGAAAGCGGGAGTGAGCCAGGCCCGGCTGGCAGTATTGCGGCCGATGACCTTGACGCCGCTACGGTCCTGGAGTTCCTCGCTTGGGGTCGAAAGAAGGATTCCGATTTCATCAATGCACCGGAACACGATCACGGACCTGGGCTACCAACTACGGGCTTTTCGTCTGAGAGCAACTCCTTGACCGAAAACTCCCGATCTGCGCAGCTGGATGTTCTGGAAGCTCTACTCCCGGACAAATCTCATGTTTTCCAGCTATGCGACTTCCACAATAGCTCGATTCTCTGGTATCACGGTTCATACTCCGCCAAGATCTTCTCCAGAGATCTTGAAGTCTTCTTTACTGAGTATGGAGGCAATGTCAGATATGAACAACTCAATCTCCAGTGGCTCGCGCTCCTTTTCTCCGTGCTAACCGGCAGCATGACATGCGCATCTCCCTCGACCTACAGCAGCTGGGGCTTCTCTGCGGCCGAGCAGTCAACTCTGTCGTCTCGGTGGTACACTGCCACTGTCACCTGTCTAAACCTGGCCTGCTATACTGAGACACATACCATCTACTCTGTCCAAGCTATTGCGACACTAACCATCTCTGCTCATATTCTCGGACACTCCAACAGCCAATCCATCCTGCTTGCAGCAGCTGGGAGGGTTGCCCAAAGCCTAGGCTTACATCGTTTAGAAGCTGACACTTCGGGAGAGACCCGTCCCATCGATCAGCTTCGCAAATCGGAAGCTGGCAAGCGTGTATTTATCCAGCTCTGCACCCAAGACTGGTTCAGCATTCCCTTCTCGGAGATATACTCCATCAGCCCCAGGTTCATCAGTAGTCATATCAGGCCATTGAACTGCAATGATGATGACATGGAGGTTCATCCAGAAACTATGCCGACACAGGCAAGTTACTGCAATTACAGGTTCGACATTGCATCGCTCATGCCGCAGCTGCTCGACGCCATGGCCGGGTGCAACACCATGTATACCCGGTATGAGCAGGTCCTGAAGTTTGACGATATAATGAGAAAGCTAGTCACCGCATCGATGCCTACCTTCCTCTCGAGCAACGCCCCTGTAGCTGCTGAATGGCCCGCTTATGTGAGCCGGGCCCGTCGGTCATTGACAATATGTGCCTGTAAGTGACCTAATCTACATCGAAGGGTGGTAGCTAACAAGTACATAGCACACAAGATCATCATGATGTAAGTAGGGGCCTTTTCGTACCCCATATGACCGAACGTTGCTCACACTTCCTCCCTCGATCAGTCATCGTAAATTTATAGGGCCATCATTTACCACCTCGGCCTTTGCCTTTACTCGACGGACCTGTCTCGCCGCTGCCAAAACAATACTTCGCGAGGCTTTTGTTGCTGTGGACGAGACCGACCCGATCCTGTGGATAGACCAGGCCTTCTCCGTCGCTGCTGCAATCATCCTAAGCCTCGACATGCTGCACCGCAGCCCTGCCGATAAGGAGTTTGGAGAGCACAAACAGCTTGTCGCCGACACAGTTTTGTATCTCGGGAAATTCGAACACAATAAAATAGCCATGCGTGGCAGGCAGTTGCTATCCTTTCTACAGCAGGAAATCAGTAAATCTAGCGCGGCCCAGTCGCGCAAGAGGACGTACGGCGACAGGCGCGGATCGCATTCTTCATCATCACGGAAGCGAGCAAGAGGCTTCAACATGCAGTCCTTCATCCGGGACGCTTCACGGAGCGTTGGTGTTACGCCGTCTACCATCGTATCTCTATCAACGCCAACGCCCAGTACGGAAGAGAAGAGCCAGGATTGGGATGCTTTATTCGACCCTCTCCCTGCGCAGATTGGATTTGACAGCCAATATCTATTCGACAACTTCTTCACAGGGCCACTGGGGCCTTCTTAGATGAATCTATACATCCAGTATATGACAGACTCACTACGATTGGGATTCTCTATTGGCACTCATTCATCAGCCATGGGGGAGCTGGGCAGCATCTCAGATGATAATTATATGAAGTTTAGCTGAGTGTGGGTATGAGCAGACACTCCGCTTCTGCTTCGAATACCAGCTACACTATCTCTGGCCTGGGACATAATCCTACTTTCGTCAAGATACACCAACTCTCCTCCCTCTACTAGTATCTCGCCGTCCACGAGGACTGTTTCGACCTCGGTACTGGGGCTGTGTACGAGGACAGTAATCGGGTCGATGCCACCTAAAATCACTTGCTCAGGATCCCAGGGCGCTGTCGACAAACCCTTGGGGCGGACGACGACAATATCTGCCTTTTTGCCTATTTCCAGGCTTCCAATCTGGTGCTCCAAGCCGAGAGCACGTGCCCCATTTATGGTGGCCATCTCAAGCACTTGATAGGCGCCAAGCAGGCCGGCATCATGCCGTACGCCACAATGCAGTATCGACGCCAGATGCATCTCGCGAAACATGTCATATGCATTGTTGCACGGTGCTCCATCTGTTCCCAGGGCCACATTGATTCCAGCCGCGAGCATGTCAGGTATGGGGGCGACGCCAGACCCGAGCTTGAGATTGCTGGTCGGGTTGTGGCTTACCGTACTCTTGCTCTTGCTCAGGATGTCCAAGTCACCCGCGGCCTGGTCCGGATGGACGACGTGTGCGAACACGCTTTTGGCGCCCGTCAGCCCTGCGTCCTGACAGAACTGAAAGGGGCTGCACTGGTAGTACTGGCGGTAGATCTCAAGGTCCTTCGGGGCTTCGGCGCAGTGCATAGTCAAGCCGATGTCATGCTTCTGGGCGGCTTCACCGACCGCTGCATGTGATGAGCTGGGAGAGCCTCTTGGCGTACTGGCAGCCAGCCATATGTGAAGCCGGCCGTTGCAGGCTCCGTGATGTTTCTCGTGAGCGACGATTGCTGACGAAAGAGACATGGATGCGACATCGCGGTCTCTCGCGTCTTTCAGGTTCAGGTCCGAATTCGTCTCGGCTACCTTGACTAGTTTGCCCTACAGATCTTGTCAGCCATTATCTGGTCAAGCTTGGCAAATATGCAAATAGGTAACCTACCAGGCAGGCCCGAATGCCCGTTTCCTCAACGGCGCGGACAACGTTATCGAGCCCGCTTCGGTGTGTCAGCATGGCCTCCAGGAAGCAGGTGGTTCCGGTCTTGAGCATTTCCGCAATCGTCAACATGGCTGCAACGTAGCCATCCTGTGCAGCATAGTTTGCCTCCAACGGCCATATCGCGTCGCAGAGCCAATCGTGAAGGTCCAAATTCTCGGCCAAGCCTCGAAGGAGCGACTGAGCGAGGTGTGCATGTGTATTCACCAGACCTGGGATTATGATCTTATCCCTGCAATCGATGACCCGGATTGTCGGTATTGACGATTGACACTGGGCCAGAAGTTCTGTTGTTTTGCCAAGTGCCGAGATGCGGCCGTCTTGTGTGAGAAGTGCGCCGTCAAGAATGACATCTCGATGTTTATTGACAGTGATGATGGTTGCATGAATGAGGAGGCAGCGAGAGGCCTCACCAGGCCGATGGCGTTTGAGCATTGCTTGCGGACGGCACAACGCTCTCCAAGAAGCTCAGGACAATTCAGCGGCGGCTCCCAATGTGCGCGACTAGAGCATTTGTATTGATTGATTCAAACTTCGATAAGGACAAGGGGTAAATGGAACTAGATAAGACCGCAACCAATATCGACAGTCTGGCGGGGACTATTATAAATGTTACTCATGACCAATCCTGACAGGCTGATGCATCTCGGCCGACACCGGGATTAAAGCCCTTTGATAGTCTCTTGTCTAAATTTTTGGCAATTGCCGGGCGGCCGCGATTCGGGATCCATTTCAATCAGCTATCTCGCTCGCCGATACGTTCCAGTGCCCCATGTCTATGGGTCTTCGGCATCTTATCAGCGCTCCTCGGAGTGCCAGTACCTAGGTATATATAAATGCCTGGCTTGTTAACAGGGTATGCCGGTACTCAACTGCAACATGCCGCACTGCATTTACCTCCGGCTCAATCATTGTTCAGCATTAGACAAGCCGCCGAAGAGCTTTCTGCCGGCCAGCAGGGTAAGTCCTACGAGCAACGCCCCAAGATTCAAGGCCTGTGACACCTGGGCTAATATTTACATTAGAGATGGGCATCATGGCCGCCTCAAGCACCCGCGTCCAGGAGCAGAAGTTAGCATCGCCGGATGCTAGCCATTCGCCATCTCTTGGTGAAGGAATGGGCACAACAACTAAGTGGAAAGATAACCTTGCCGAGCTCAAGTATACATTCTTTACCTTGGATGGCTGGATCGGGGACTATGTACTACCTCCAACCTCCTCTGCTCATCCTGGACTCCATCTAACAATGTCTAGGATTACATGTACTTGATAACGCCCAACATCTGGCCCCTGAACAGAAAGTACAAGGACTACCAGGCCCCATTCTATGGCCTGAACGACCGCGTACCTATTCTACTCACAATCCTGCTTGGTCTACAGCATGCTCTAACCATGATCGGCTCCATCGTCTCGCCACCTCTTGCCATCGCCTCCGGTGCTTTCAAGTTTGACCCGAACATGACGGCCTATCTCGTGTCAACAGCCTTCATCACTACAGGCATCGCCACGGCGCTTCAGGTTACGCGCCTCCACATCATGAAGACGCCCTTCTTCGTTGGCACCGGGCTGCTCTCCGTGGTGGGACCGACATTCGATATCCTCCCGATTGTGTTTAATTACGCGGCTCTCCGATACCGCTCTGGAACCTGCCCCGTTGCGGCTGGTGGCACCCAGGGATCTTGCCCTGATGCCTGGGGAACTTGCTTGGGAACGATGCTCTGCTGCGTCTGGATTCAGATAGCCATGGCCTTTATCCCACCCAAGACGCTCAACAAGGTCTTTCCCAAGCTCATCACCGGGAGTCTCCTCACACTCGTCGGCGTCTATCTCATCGGAAATGGCCTGCAGAACTGGGGTGGCAGCTCCAACTGCCACGGCGGAGAGGGTTTCTATGCTCTCTGCCCCAACAGCGCTGCTCCAAGGCCTCTTCCGTGGGGTGATCCAAAGTTGATTGGTCTTGGCTTCAGCGTCTTCATCTCCATCATCATCGTTGAGACCGTTGGGGCTCCACTGATGCGTTCTGCGTCTGTTATTGTCGGTCTTGCTGTGGGATGCATCATCTCTGGAGTTACCGGATACTGGTCAACCGAGCAGATTCATCAAGCACCAAGAGGGACTTTTCTTTGGGTGCACACCTTCAAGTTGTCTGTGGATGGCGCTCTCGTTCTTCCCCTGATCATCATGTTTGCCTGCCAGGCCGTCAGCTGCATTCCCGATATCCTGGCAACCGCCGAGCTCTCCGATGTGGCCATTGAAGGTACCGAATTCAACAGCAGAATCCAAGGAGGCATTCTCTGCGACGGACTCGGCAGCTTCTTCAGTGCGCTCGGCACTGGTCCCCCGCTTGTGTCTCAGGCGGGGAACAACGGCGTCATTGTTCTCACAGGATGCGCCTCCCGTCGTGCAGGTTGGGCAGCGAGCGCATTTCTGATTCTGATGGGCATTATAGCCAAGTTTGGGGCTGTATTTGCATCCATGCCACCTTCTGTACTCGGCGGCATGCAGGTCTTCCTGTATAGTACGATTGCTGTTGCCGGCATCCGTGTTTTGGCACTGATTTCCTGGACACGACGTGATCGCTTTATCCTCACCGTGGCATTAGGTATTGGCTTCATGGATATATGTCAGCCAGCCTGGTTTGCCAGCATTCTGGACTATAACGGGTCGAATGCGAACCTAGTGGGCTTCCTGCAAGGCATTAACTTGGCTGTCGAGACGCCCTTTGTTATTGCTGCAATCGTTGGTGTTATTTTGAACGGGGTATTACCAGGGGATAAAACTACCCTTCCAAAGGCTACTTTAACTTAATATGACTGAGGGGGTTGAACTGGTACCTTGAGAATAAGGATACTTTTGCGGCGAGTGATGTAGGGTGAATGAAGCTGGCAAGACCAACCAGTCTGTTGAAAATCATTGAGTCTATCAGACTTCACCAAAATGACCACATTTCATGGTCTCCATCTTCCACTCCTCCGGCATTATAAATCGATCGATTGCATCCGCCCAGAATGGATTATTAGTGTTGACATACTTCGCAGGTGTGTATTTCCACTATGCCGTCTCCCAGTCTACTATTCGCTTGACATTATCCCAGCGCACCAGGACATTGAGGCTGCTCAGATCACCAGGGATGAGAACTATCATATTCTATGCCTGGCAATAGAACGTTAAGAGCACACCAAGCTCCGGGTATCTCGTGTAATCGACGTCCTAAGGAATTTCATGGACCAGTGCTTTGTGGAACTCACGAACGGCATCGAACAGGCCCCGGTAAGACACTTTGGGCAGACGACAGTCGAAGAAAGCGAAGAAAGGCTTGCCATTGACACTGCCAACTTGTGAACCCTCACGGGGACGGACTGAGCGAAGCTAAGTGACCATGCCACGGAGTTGTTCCAGTATTCGCATTTTCGATTCCTCTGGTCTGCATGGCCCCGCCAGTCCGTATTCGCAAGATTCTTCACAGTATTTTGTAACGTCTGCATCGAAAGCAAGATACCGTTGTCAGACACTTAGAATATTTGCAAACGGCATGATCGCCCATAGGAAAGCAGATCACAGCTTATGATACATCACATCTCCTCTTGAAGGCTGTCGAAACAGACAAACAACCAAAATACTTGGACGTAGATGAACTACTGCTTTCCAGTATATTTATGTAACCATATTTTCTAGCAGTCCGCTGATACCGCCTCCAGCCTCCCCCCAAATTTGTCAGACAGGTGATTCCGGATCTCCTGAATAGCCAGCTTATCGCATTCAGCTGAAGATTGATCGAAGTGACGTCCTTCACCAACGATAGGTCCTTTCCAGCCAGTAACCAAGCCGCCCTTAGTTAGAGTACTGCCTAGAGGAGCGCAGGAGTCCAAGTCGATCAGCACAGGCTTCCCGGTTTTATCGAACATAATATTGGATGGGCTTATGTCATTGTGCGCAAACCCGAGCGAGTGCAAGTGCTTCGAAGCTGCTTCAATCTAATCTAGGCAATCCACAAGCCATTGAAAAGTAGATTGGTCCAGCATCTCGCCCTGACAATAGTCATCCAGAGACTTGGTATACCTCCTCAATGCTAAGCGCACCACCCGACTCTCTTCCACAACACAACCAAGATATTTAACTAGGTTGCTGTGTGGGCTGCGTAATATGCTCTCATAGATTCTGGCTTCGTTGAGCATCCTGACTGCTAGGTCGTCTCTGCCTTCCTGGTAGTGTCCGAGTTTGGGCGCCTTAAGGTAAGGACCATGAGTATTTCTGTCCTGCTCTGGCTTGTACCGAGTAAGCTCTTCGGCGGGGAATTCAGGGTATATCTTGTCTTTGGGAATTGGGCGAAGGATCTTGATGAGCTCATCAAACCGCGATAGGTCGTGTTGCTCGCCGTCGTGAGGCCAGTCTTTGCGGTACTCTTGACGTCGGACTCGACCAGACCAGGCATTGAAGCCTTCATAGACTTCAAAACTCAAGTAGCCGTCCGTCTGCCAGTTAAAGTCCTGAATGGATTGTCCCTCTTCTAGGGCTTGAACAGTTTGAATATAGATGGAGCGCTGCTTTCGATGAACTAATGCCATGCTGGCTAGTATATGACATAACTCGGTCGTTCTTGAATCGGAACTTAGAAAGACAAGAAGCTCATGCTAGAGGGCATTAAGGTCAAAGATAAAGGGAAGCGTCTTGAGTGCAGACTCAGACTTCCAATTTAGGAATAAGTCTTGAATTCCGCCGTGCTTCGGCCCATCAGGGCATGTCGCTTGTGTTGAGGATAGCGCGTGCTTTTTATCTCTTGGAGGCTGAAAAGTAGGTGGCGTGAGGTGCCCGTCCAGAGCGGGGCTCACACCATCTTTGTTTCTACTCCTCTTGATCAATCGCAACAATTGGAGGGCACACATGTAACTCATCAGGTTGCAGGAATGGCTGCGTGTGACCAGGTGTGTATCCCTAACAGTGCGCTAGAGGTCATATCAGAACTTATTAATCCAATCCCTGGCCGTAGACTTCAGACACTGAAATGTAAATGGCCATCCTTCGCAGCAGCTTGCACAGAGAGCAATTTGCTTGCTACCTCAAGACAGTATCCACTTCACCCACAAGATGTCATGCACAAGCACTGTCGCCCAGAAGAGGATCTGGAACGAAACCTTCCTCGTCTTGTGCTTAAAATACCCCTGAGCCAGTAATCCGCCCGGCCATCCGCCGAGGAGGTCAAGCAGGTGAAGCAGGACCTCGCGGACTCGCCAACCAGAGCTTGTAGCCTGGTGCTTGTCGTATCCGTACAGCAGAAACGATAGAGGGCTGAAGACAAGGTAGCAGAATAGTGGTTGGCGGACACCGATCCACCAGAGCCGGCCCGTTCCGATCCCAGCAGGAACTAAGCTCCATATAGCTACTCTTGATATCCCGTTGTTTCTGCCTTGCCTCAAACGCGGCATAGGTATGAAATGCGATCGGTGTGCTAGGAAGTCCCTATGATTCTATAAGAGGTGGAGAACAGACATCAGTTAGGTATCATTGATGTCTAGTGCTGGAAATAGTGAAGTGTAGAGGCCAATCTCTGCAACAGGCTCTAGGTGGCTACCTTACGCTAGGTGCCTTCTCCTGCTACAAATATCAATCAATCACACAACAAAGAAGAATAGTACTCACATTCTGGAAATCCGTTGGAGGGCCTCTGTGTCAACTTTGTCAAGGCACAGGGTCACTGGAGACAGGGCTGCGTTGAAATCGCTGTATTTTGAAGAGAGAAGAAGATGAAGAAAAAGAGGAATATCTACAGTGGCCGGTGCGCTGGCGCGATTTGTGTGGTGGCGCGCACAGGCCAAGCGCATGGGGCCAGGCACACAGGTCAGGCGGCCGATTGGGCTGTCGGTTGTGAAAACTCTGGATTCTGGTCTTGCAAAGCAGGGGTCAAAAATAGTGGTTGATTGTGGCCTGCTAATTCTAACTCTCTCTCTTCCGAGAAGCCAACTAAATCTAACTTGGTGGCCCACTCTAGGTGCTGACTAAAATCCCCTCTCTACAGTTGGTAATAAGCGTGCAACAACTGGCAAAACCAATATGTCACGAAATTAAGCGCGGATACCGCAGGGCGTAGCCCCTGAGGCGGCCAGGAAGATAAGATAGGAAATTGCACCTTGACTTCGTTGCCCGCGGGAACTACATCCTCCAAACAGGCACCCTTCGTCGAGACGTCGTGTGGTTTGCATCACTCCGGTGATATCTTCCCATATATCCAGACGCCTCCAGTCGATAATCCATCCACAATACCATTTTTTATGCCTTGAACATATGTTTGTGCTCGCGGTAGCCGGACTGGGTTATAAGTATCAGAATCCACTTGATTATCTATAGTAGTTGCCATCTTTATATATCATAGCTCATCGACATGTTTGTTATACGTTGTCGACAAGATTCACGACAAGATTCACGACAAGATTCACATAACTAACGCCAGACCTTTCACTTTCAAGAACCGTACAAATGTGACCATCGCCCTACGACTCACCCCAAGCATTCGGCCCGGTTGAAGTCAACAAGGCATTCCAAAAGTCATCATCCAACTGAACGGGTAACGAACCAGAGTCATCGGTCGCTGATATCCGGTCAAACTCCATAGGCTGTGTATTCGATGACGCAGAGGGACGAGACTCCGCCGCCACTTTTGCCAAGTACCACTGCCTTATCCACTTGATCTTCACGCTGTAACAAAGGAGGACCGACTCGTCTACGCCATTGTCAAATCTCCTCCGCCGCCCCGCGATCTGCGCGACCTGATCCGCCTGCTCAAAGCGGCTGCTCAAAGTCTGACACGCAGCCGCCAAGTCAAGCGTCAGACGCGCCAGGCTCACCGTCCAGTCGGAGTCGTTGAGAAGCAGGATGCGACTTGCCGTCACGACCGCAAAGGACATGTATGATGTTGCCACGAGCGGCATTACGCCGAGAAGCTCGAGTGGGATACGGGCATATGCTGCGAAGAAATCCTTGACTGATTGCAGGCAGCCTGCGAGAGCGTCGGTGCGGCGTGATGACTCTTGGAGGTCGCCAGATCGTGAAGATGGGCGCATGTGGATTGCCGGTTCGTAGAGTCTCATTGTGACGCCGTGGTAGTGCGTCCAAAGCAAGACTATTGTGTTGTGGACTCAATATCAGCCAATGCTACTTCTTGCTCGCTCTTGCAAACAACGTAGGCGGAGAGAAAAGAATTGGGTTGACAGCCTCTCCTCCTTGCCCACGTTCAACTGTACTCCGTGCAAGACGTAATTGTGGTTTTATAGTTCAGAACATACCATTGGTCTGGAGCCCAGGGGGTTGAGCCTGAATTAATTTGTCCAGCTCCCTTTTCGTGGTCTCCATCATCATATGAACAGATGCGTCCATGGCTTGGGCGACATGTTCATCTTGGTCTGGATTTGGGATAGCATCAGAGACACGAGCGAGAAGTTGTTGCATTCGTATTAGAGATACGAGGAACTGATCCGTATCATGCTCCCCCGCAGCCAGCAACGTGTCACAACAATTTCTGATGTACTTTGTGAAGACGAAGTTCCTTGTTCTTCTGAAAAGCGTTGCCACCCTTTTGTTTTTGCATTTGTTTAGTTGATTACCTTTGAAACGATCATCTCGAGGTGTAAGAATGAACACGGTAAAAGCAGAAGACTTACACTGACTGCAGATAAGAGAGGCCCAACATGGCTCTCATGTCATCGCGGGTGCGGGTTTCCTGCCTCATCTTCCCAATCTTCTGCGCCACTTCAGGTATAAAAGACAGGCGAGCAGCACCTAATATGCTCGGCGACCTGTCGAGCCTTAGGTCAATGACGAGCGTTTCGGCTAATTGAAGCAAGGCTGTTGCCTGTGGCTCAATATAGAATTGGAAATCTCCCCTGATAATTGGTCAGGCTGGTTCAACGTCATAGATTCCTAATTGGCATGGTTCATAGAGCTCACCAGGCTAGAAAGACCAGTATCGATTGCAGAAGCTCCAGTCGCCTCTTCTTCTCCACCACAATTTGCTGCGCTATGTATTCGTGAAACCACCGGTCAACACGCCTCTGAGCTTGCAAGTCATGAGGTACCACGACCTGAAGAATAGTGCGAAGTAAAAACGGTGCAGTATGGTAAAGCTCGTTTGCTGTTATTGTGACAGGGATGGGAACGAAGGGGAAGTAAGGGGTGAAGGTCGAGCGATAAAGGGCGAGGGACGCATCGGCTTCTTCAAAGGTCACCTCGAACCCCGAGACGATTTGAATCTGGTCAGACGACTGGCCAGTGCGATGTGGCGTTGCCAAGTATGGAGTGTTGTGACTAGAAACCGAGGGATGATAGACTGGCGAGGCGGTTCCAGCCTCAGGACGGCCAAGCGTTCCTTGCACTGGTCCAATCCTAGGTTGCCAGCGCAGCTCACCCGCAGCCGGGGAACCGGTATATGTTTCGGGGCCATTGCTCGGTGCCACTTGGTGATTTGTATTTCTCTGCGTCTCGCTTAACAGTGAAATGATGCCATCCAACTTGCCTTCGAGCCGGCTAACACTCCTAGATATAGATGTTAGTTCCTTGGTCACTGGGCTACGGCGTGGTCCTTGGCTTACTTTGGCGGGCCCCGTCGTTTACGGGTTTTTGTCCTCGGTAGTATGCAGTTGGTGTTCGATTTGGCACATCTGGAAGCTAATTAGTTAGCTTCATTATGAGCAATCGTTCAATGAGACTTAGCAGAATGCTATGCCCTGTCCTGCCTGATCATGTCGGGGGTTCCGACAGGCCCGTGTAGCTCGGCCCGCTGTCTATGGCCAATACTGACGTACCTGTGACAAGGGTTGGTCCCTGGCTCGGACGGCCATTCGCATCTAAGCTTCGATTTTGCGCAAGTCTGGCATGCGCGCGGTCGGTACTTGGCCACCTCGGAGGAAGTATGGCTCTCTGAAAGTTCCTCTTCGGATGCTAAAGAAGACATGACTCCTTCCAAGATGCTCCTGCTGGATGATGCAGCGATTGGGGAAGCCAAGTTGATGTTTTCGGGGTAGAGCGGCGATAAGCGCCTGATGAAAGATGCGCTATTCAACTTGACGCTTCAAGACTATGTGTCGCTTTGTTTATTAGCTTGAGCCTGGCGTTTGAAAAGGTCGATTGTTCCGTTGCTCAGACTTGGGCAAATAGACATTGAAATGTCGGTTGGTGGAAGTCGGGGGTTCGGCTAGCGTTACATGTCCCGAATGAAGAGAGGTTGCTAGAGGCTGGGGGGCATCGGCAGATATGGTCTGAGTATCGGAGCTTTCGGAGCTTCCGAATCCCGACTGCACTTACCCTTAAGGAACATTGCTGAAGCTCGGGGTGTCCGACTAACAGTGTATAATGATAATCAACAATGCATTGGATTCTCTATATATGCGCACTGTTGTTTTTCGTATTTCATGTATTTTCCTTCTCTTGGTATGTTGTAAGTGGTGCATCAATCAACTACTCAAACTACATCAATTCGAACGGACACTTGAACGCATCTCTATTTGTACCACAATGCCTTAATCAGCTCTTTGGAGCATCCTTGTTTCCAATGGCTATCAAATTAGAAGACAGACCACCTTTTGGAGCCGCGTCTCACCGCTGCAACCGAGAAGTGGTTGAGTCACAAGACACCGATGCGACCATGCCGTCCACTCAGCAGGACGATGACGCAGAAGCAGCACAATATCCTATTGGCATCAGATTATTTATGATAGCGATCGGTCTAATGCTTGCCGTCATTTGCAGCAATATGGTCAGTATCGCTTCCTTCATGACGATCTCTTGTTCTACTATCCACTACAAAACACAAGTAGTATGTACCAGTCTTGCTGATTTGCCTGGTTCTGGTGCGTAGGACCGATCCATTCTAAGCGTCGCCATTCCCCAGATCACTTCCGAGTTTCACTCACTTTCAGACATAGGCTGGTACGGGTCGGCATACCTGTTGACTTCGTGCTGCTCGCAGTTGATGTTCGGAAAGCTATACACCCAGTACAGCATAAAGTGGTGTTTTATGGCCTCGGTCGCCGTCTTCGAGATTGGCTCAATATTGTGCGCCGCGGCTCCGAACTCTAATTGTCTCATCATCGGCCGAGCTGTGGCTGGCTTAGGAGCAACCGGGATTTCGATTGGCGCTCTCTTGGTACGTGCCTGCTTTTCGACGCGAACGTGAAGCCTGGCCAATTAAAACCGCCTTCAATATGTCCAGTGACTGACTTTCGGTTTCTCCAGATCATTTCCCATAGCATGCCAGTATCTCAAAGGCCCAAATACACCGCCGTAATTGGCGCCGGCATGGCTGCTACTTTAGTCTTTGCACCATTCTTAGGCGGCGTGTTCACCTCGAAGCTGAACTGGAGTAAGATGTTCCGTGAACTTGATGATTTCCTCAGTATCAACACTGACCCTTAGACTCTAGGGTGGTGTTTCTGGATCAATCTTCCCATCGGAGGCTTAACCTTGCTTACCACTTTCTTCTTGGTCCAGCTCCCGAAGAGTACGAAGAAACAGAAGAAGATGACATGGCGACAATTGATCACCACACTAGACCTGCTGGGCAGCCTTCTGCTTTTGCCCGCCATGGTGTGTCTCCTGCTGGCGCTTCAGTGGGGAGGCACGATGTATGCCTGGAAGAGCTGGAGATGCATTCTGCTCTTCTGCATCTTTGGCGTCTTCGGCACTGCTTGGTGCTATGTGCAGGTCAAACAGGGCGAGAATGCCACCGTTCCAATGCGACTTTTGAAGATGAGATCCATGCTAGCCGCTATGTGGTTCGGGTTCTGCCTGTTTGGCATGCTTTTCGTTGCATCATATTATGTCCCTGTGTGGTTCCAGGCGGTCCGTGGGGAGTCGGCGTACAAGACTGGCATCAGCATGTTGGCTTCCACCATTGCCATGACGGTCTTTTTCCCTGTCGCTGGTATATTGGTAAGACTTCCCTGTCAGGGTCGCGACATGTCTTTCCTCACAACAAACTGTAATTCGGTTCTTCTCACAACAAACTGTAATTCGGTTCTTCTCACAACAAACTGTAATTCGGTTCTTCTTAGACCCGAATTGAAACCCCATACAAAATAAAACGGCGCTCAC